CTCCGCGCAAACACCCTCGAGGCATTTCTGCCTTTCATTCCAAGTCATCGATCCAAAAATGAATAGGAGGGAAGAGTGCCTCACTATCGCGCAGGAACGGACACCCTATATAAGGTTAGCCTTCCACGAGGGGCTCTCAATGCAGAGCAGTTCTATTTGGTTCAGCGACCAGCCCAGCTTCCTACTGGTCTGAAGATGGGACTGGGTTACGGTAAGTGCTCTTCCTTGTGATTGGGTGACTACGTAATTTGAGGTCGAACTTCAGTAGTCAGTAAGTAAGTAAGTAAGTTTATTACGTGTGCATAAGGCATACGTGAGAAAAAGAGAACATAACCCATTGCGTATACAAGTTCAAATATTGATATTAGTTGTTTGAAAACAGTGATTAACCAGCAAAACACTAATTTATCGACCAGTCTCGAGAGAGCTAGACCCACCATACCTTAACAACCTTTTGGAAATACGGTGTCTGAACTGAGCATGTGACAGAGCGGTAGGTATGGCTTTTAGTAGTACTGTAAAGACATTTGGTCGGATAGTCACGAGTCGTTTCGGTCCTTTCAGGCTCTGGAGAAAGCGGTTCCGCCAAAAGGCGTAAGCGGATAAAGTGGTTAATCAACCTCGAAAGAGTGAACAGAAGAAAATTTACAGTACTACAAAACTGCCGAGGTTTACTGAGAGCCGCACTTAAAGAAATAAGTGGAATGTATGTGCTAGTTGGCCTCACCATAGAGAGGAAACCACAGGGGCCCTAAAAAAGCGCTCAAAATAAGGCCTCCTCGAGATATAGAGGTGGAGACTCGCTGAGATTTTGGGTCGGAGCAGTGAGTGGGCATACAAACGAGAAAGACGATAGGGGTGGTATTACTCGCTTCGCTTCTTTTGGTCAGTCTTACGTCCTCTCACTTTTTTTTCTGACATAAAACTGGTGCAAAGTCGCTCATAGCTTTCCGATCCTTTCAGAACTTTGATCCTCAGAAGTTATTGCGAAACGTGCTTTTGGACAACGACCCTTTTTCTGGGAATATTGCACAATCTTTATGGGCAACAAAACTTAGCTCAGTGTTTTATGCTTGTCATAAAGACGTGTTCTCATGACTGTAAGCCTTCTATAGGTATTTTACTTATTATGCACCATTTTGGCCCCAGCATTTATAGTGAAGAGGACCTCTGAAGCTGATGCTAAGCTAAGCATCCACCAGCAGTTCACTCATTAGCTGTGGGCGATTCCGTCCTAATCTTCCCTACTTTCTTTTGCTGCAATATCGTCGGTTTGAAAACAAGTGGCCTACCAGGTCCTCAAGACGTGTAGGATCGATGCACCTAGCAGCACAGAATTCGGCTCCCTGAGTAGGCGTTTCGTGGCGCGTTTTCAGAAGGAAGGTGCCCTTATAGCGCCCTATCGAACTATAACATACCTACCCGAACGCCCACCACGCCTGCTCGCCCACAAATGCCCTACCGATGCTGTTGCTCGTAGCACTTCATTAGCGAGGTACAAATGAAGTGAGGTGATATGAAGCAACTGTGGTGCAATGGATGTATGAGTATACTCCTTATCCCTGAGACGAGGTAGGCGTGGCATGGCACAGTACTGGTTACTCGTGGTATATTTCAATTTGAGACAACCGCCATCTTGTTCTTTGTTGGACAGAGACGTGACCACATTTGGGTCAAAATGAAAATATCTCTCCAAAAGCATAGCCACCACGACGTTTATTTGAAGTACGCAACCACGCCTACCCTATCTCAGGGTTTTTGAAGGTACACAACGTATCCACCGTAGCGGCTGTTGACACGGCACCACCGAGAAAGTCGGCCACAACTGGTCTCTAAATCATGTAGAAGAAAGGCCTTTTCGCAGGTCTCTGAGCATTTCACTTCAATTTTCGTCATTTTCCCCACTATATAGCAGTCGTGCTACCATTTCATACCGAGTACAAAGTATCGTGCCTTATGCCTTTGACTGAAAAGAGAAGGTATTTTTCAGAATGAAATTCGTCATTGTCGTTGTGGCGATTGTCTTAGCCATGTACTCGTGTGCTGTTGCTAGCAATCTTGTCGTGCCACATCCACGTCCACCACTAATAAGTCCTACAGGCAAGAGGTTTACTCATGCCCAGAGAAAGGTTTTTAATTTTGGATATTTCAGTCAGGAGGGTTTTAGCTCTTCGTGGACCTGGACCGGTTAGAATCAAAAGAAGTTTCTCGCCAGGTAATTCTTTTTTAAAGACCGACTTTACGCCTATCTCCGAAGATCTTGCTTTTTGCCATTTGTGAAGAGAATGGATTGGTTGCCACAGAGATTTCAACTTGATGATGCGCGGAAATTCGGCTGAAAGGTGGCGATAGCTAGCGTCGTTTGATCTCCACCCGCAGGCAGAACACGCACATACGTAACACGCAGCACGGCCAGCAACACGTCATGCCATAGCCAAACGCGCTACTTGTTTGAGCTCCCTCATGTTTGCGTTGCTTACTGTCTTGTTACTTTGTCTTTACCCTGTCTCTTTACTTTGTCTGCGTTGGCCCATTGAAGAACCTTGGTATCGTGGGAAATGCTGTGTTTCGAAGATAGTGCGGGCGGAGGCGAATGCAGCACTAATAGTAAGTTCAGCTCCTCCCCCCCCCCCACTCTCCAGCCTCACGTGCTTTACGCGCGCTCTCAAGTGGCAAATGTGGCCTACACCGGCAGCTGCTAACGCCTTTTCCTCACTCATTGCAAGCACCGTTCTCAAGGGTGATGTGAGGTGGTTTCTTTTCAAGCATGAAAAAAGATGAATAGAACCAATGGTTGATGAGCGGATGAATAAGAGGATTTTCCAGACAACAGGAATCATTTTATGGGAGAAAGTAAAGTATGTGCAGTGTGGTGCTTTAGTGTTTTTATTAAGTATGAACAATTTTAAGTAGTTCGTCCTGCATTCGACTACTGAATCCGCCCGAAGGGGTTCCAGTCAGTGGATGTTGAACACGAAAGCCGTCTGTTGAGATGAAATTCTCGTGTCATCTTTTATAAAGCATTTCCTTGATGTTGTTCCGTGTACGACTCGTCGACAGACAGTTCACACAGCCGCTTGATTATTCAACGATGCTACAGAGCTATCATCTGTTCGAAAAAATTTCGTATAACTCTCAGAACTGTTGACTGCACAGGGGAACATGAGACCTGCTAAGAGTGAAATGATGAGGATCATGTTCACTACTGATCGTGCTTTCCTGGACTGAGTTCGTTTGATTCCACAAAAAGGTTCTCGTCTATGACCTCCCGTTTCTTGTTTTCCGAAATTCTCTAGCGGACGCCAGTAACGCCTTCACCGTCTCTGCCGCGAGCGAGAGCCAAAGTCAAGTGGATACCCTGCACACTCGAGGCGCGGGAGCTTTTTCCTTTCGTGCAGACTTATCGTGAAGAAATCTGATCAGGGACGTCGTACGTCGGGGTCTCCTACGAATAGGGTCGATTTGATTGCTGCAGGAGCGAGCCGGTCCTTGTTGCCATCGAGAAAAATGTCGGACCGGTCCGCGTAATAGCGTTGGGACGCGTTTAGTCGCATGGTGGCGACTGAAGCGGCCGCCTCTGCTGTAGTCAAGTATGAACGCCGCCTTATTGTGCAGCTACAACGATACTCAACTTTTAATAAGTCACAATGTCCATGGCAAGAAAAATGGCTCAAAGTTCTTGAATTGAAACCCACGGCACATCGTTGTTGGGGAATCCCCAATAGGGGGGGGGTCGTATTTGGCCGCCAGGAGAGGGGGTCGTATTTGGGCTGGGAAAAATTTATTTTGATAGTTGATTTTTCTCGCTTCACGGACGTTGTAAAGGGGGGGGGTCGTACTTGGTCATTGTTGGGAGGAGGGGGGTCGTATTTACGTTTTAAGAGTGGTGGTTGACTTTTGGTGATTTCCGTGTTTCATGCCTTTTCATGCGTACTATATTCCCCCTCCCCTCCTGCTTGATGGCTCGATTCGATGAGGAGGAACAGAGGGCCGGAGGGGGGGGGGTCGTACAGACTGACTAAAATCCCAACCAATGACGTGCCCTGTTTACTTTATAATCAGTCATCCTTCATTTGCGCGTGACCCCAGAGAATGATGTTACAGCGAGAAGAAGACCGTCCTCAGAATTAAGCTACACTCCAAATACTGCCCCCAAATAAAGTTGGGTAAATCTTGAGTTATTTGTCTAATTGTAAGAGAAAACAATAGATGACTTATGTCTTACATGATTACTGCCGAGAATGGTAATCTTCGAAAGGACCACCCACTCTGTGTCCAGCGCTGTCCAAGTATTTCTATCAGAACTTCAATCCCAACCGGAGAAATGTGCAATCAGTTCAAACATCTGTGTCGCGGAACCATCAAATCCCATCAAACTCCCTGTACCCGTCACTATTTGTATCCAAAAGTTGCTAGCAGACTTCAGGAATCCAGCATTCAGTGCCTCAAAAGGCTGAATTCATACTTTGCGGCAGCGTCCACCAGCGTTCTGAGCCTCTAGTAGCGTCAGCGAATAGGCAACTTTAGATACGATCTAGCGTCTGAAAACGTCTACCAGCGACCAGCAGCGACCACGCTGCTGGTCGCTGGTAGACGTTTTCAGACGCTGGACAATATGGAGCGATGGAATCGCTCTGGATTGCTGGTAGAGAGCTGGCACGCTAGGAGGGTAACAGATAGCGGGTAACGCCTCAACCACCATTCTGCTGTTGGTCAGTGGATGACGCTAGACCCTGGCAGACGCTAGATGGACACGAACACTTCCCTAGCCCTTGAGACGCTACTGGTTGCTGGTGGACGCTGGCAGACGCTAAATTGAAACTTATACTCTCCTAGACGTTGCCGGAACGCTGGTAAACGTAAGTATAAACGCAGCCAACGTACATTTCATGAGGACGCAAATACCAACCAGGTCGAAGCGAATGTTGATTCCTCTCCACTTTTCACATTAACAGTTTCACCTTGTTTCAAACATTTATCATTCACTCATACCACAAGTGTCACCAGATTTTACCGACGCACTTCTTCATGCATTCTTCCAAAGTTTCAAACTTGTCTGCTGCGCCTTCACAACCGTTGTAGAACAACTTTATGCACTGTTCATCCTTGGGCGAAGAATCGTTTCTGGAATGAAATATGCACTATTTTACGGCATGAGGGGAAAAATATTCCAACTGTCCGTTCAGAGAGCTCAGCCAGGTTCGATTATAAGGCTTTGGGTCGCTAAAGAGCAGTAGGTCGAGTCTATATACCTAATCTCATTTCCTACTGCATGTTTTTCTGAGTTGGAGATATCGATCTCCTATAAACATAACTAACAGCGAAAATCGGCGCAGTTAGGCGACAAGGGAGCATTTTGTTTTGCTATTGTACTTCCTATCGATGCTCGAACCATCTAGAGAAATATTTTATAAGCCCACAAGTGTTGGTAGGTGGTCGTACGGCTTGCGTCGGCCTCATAAGAATTTATGGGTCTCATTAGAGTGACAGATATAAACTGGTACTAATGGAGCAGCAAAAGTGCAAAAAGCTCCTCCCACTCGCCGAACGGAGCCTAAAAATTCAATCACAACTGGAGATGATGACGAAGTTTTGATGTCAGCCTCACCTTGCCGTGCATGGTCGAAAGTCAGCCTCCAGTCTGCAAAGATCATTCGTCGAGAAAACTAAAGTATTATTATTATTCGTCCAAGACAATTTCATTAGTTGCCCATCAGTTCTAGCCCTCCCCATATCTGATTCAGAGTTTGCAACATGAGCAACACCTCAATTGTCATCCGCATCAGGAGTTAGCATTAGGAGTTTTAATAGCATTCTTAACCGCAAATTAGAAGATTAGAAGACCCGACAAAGTGCCAGGAACGCCGCGCGCGACACGCGCCTTTCGGACGACCGGTCACGTATAGATGGGATATGGGTATAGCGTGCAGAGTGTCTGCACCGCAAATTGCTATTCAGGCGCAGTGTGGAGAAATTAGTCTATCCCACGGTCCTGGATCCCCAATTCCGCGCATGCTCGGACGGGGAAACCACTAACCTTCAATAGTTGGGACTCATTAGACGCGGACATGCTAAGGATGAACCTCGCAGCTGAGCGTGCATCGTATCTTTAAGTTGAGAGGGTAAGGGGGGCCCTGGTGGCGTGACGGATAATGAACTCGCTCGGGAAACGTGGGATGCGGGTTCGACTCCCGCCTGCGGTTCCTTTTGCCCATAACTGATAAAACTAATTCGGGTCAGTGTTGAAATCAGCAGCTATCAAGCCAGGGTACAGCATCGCTGTGTGAAACACATGTGAGGAGGACATATTTGGCCGCTGCTGAGGGGGCGAGGTCGTACTGGTCGTTGTTGAGGGAGATGGGGGCCCTCACATGTGCCTTTGAGAGAGATTTGCCGCGTTGGAAGAAAATTTCTCTCGATTGTTGACTTCTCGCGGTTTTTTCCTTTCACGTTGGCTATATCCCCTCCCGCACCCCTCTCGACGGAGAAATTTTTGGGTGAAAAACTGGAAAATGTGGGAAATGTGGAAAAACTGGTAGGAAGCTGGGAAGTTTTAAGAAAAAGGCAGGCAGGTGTTGGGGTAGAGAGGTGAGAAGGAATCGTACCGAGAGCCCCTTTTAGGTGGTGGGGTGGGGATCGTACTGACATCACCTCTTCACGATGTTGTACCTTGGGCACGCTAAGCACATCAGCCTTTCTAATGTGAGATCTTCGTTTATGTTCCCGCTTATTCAAGCTGCCTCCTCATGAGACACCTTTTTCATGAAAATTTCGATCGCGAAATGACACCAAAAATACACACCAAAAATAATCGGTTATCCAATATCACATTAGAGCAATATGTGGATAGAACATTGCTCACCAATCGTCAGCAAAGCGAATAGCACGGGAAGAACAAAATACGCCTTCATTGATTCAGTGGATTTCTCTGAAACAGGCCACGCTCATCCAAAGGACGATTTATTCCCTTCTTAATTTATTTATTTATTTATCATTTATTTATTTGTTTTCTACCTATTTTTTTATTTTTCCGGTGAGACTTAGCTTGTGATGCAAGATCAACGCCAACTGGTAAGCCTCAGAGCAACGGAGCAGAAAAAACCAATCGCTGTTGGCTAACAAATAAAGAAGGCAAATGACGTCAGGCCGACAGAAATTGGTCGAACGAGAGGGTACAACTCCAGTAATTAGTGCTATAAGGGTAAATAGTGAGCTGGAATTTATTTGTTGGGTTGCTTCCTTTGAGGGCCGTTTTCTGCACATCTAGCGAGGCAGCGTTCAGACTTCGCGACGGCAGCACTTCGCTCGCGCCTTTGACGCAACCGATCGCCCATGCTTACCCCTGCGTCTGATTGGTGGAATCATGCGTGATCAAAGGCCGAATGCTGCCGAATAGATAGAGCCTCCGCCCGATGTCACAGCATTCGCTATGGTATTGTACTGCCATTCTCAATGGCACACCGTATTCGCAACAATTTTTGACTATTTAGCTAATTTGCATGCTTGCTAAGATACAACATAGCATATTTTTGACATTATATTATAACACAACAAAACACATTCTTGGCACTTTTCTACATAACATGCGAGGTCTCAGAAAAAGTGAGACTGCTAGTGGCTTGAGATGCGGTAAAATGAGCCTGAAGCTCCGAAAAATCCAAGAAAATAGTACTCTGAGAGGTTCAGAGAACTGAGCGTCATCTGCTCACGCTGATAGACTGTAAATAGCGGGTATATATAAATACTAGCACCGTAAAAGTGTTATGTTCTACATCCTAATCATCAACAGCAGTCCCCGAACTGTCAAAGCATTTCGCACAGCTCTAAAATGATATGGTGCCTTTATTTGCATTTGTTTGGACTTCTAACCTGAATAAATGTGAAGTTGACTTGGTGGCCGGCAGAATACGAAAAGGGTATACAGCTCAACTGATCCCAGGGACGGATACAATTAGTTCCCTCTGAAACAGACAAAGTTACTGCCTAAGACGAGGACGGTGTCTCAGCATAAAAAAGCAGTAGGAGCAGTTTCACGGTAAAAATTGAGATGTTGGCTAGTTTTCTCACATCAAACGATTCCAGGCAGTATTTTCATGCCAACAATATATTGCTGCGTTCAGGAGCATGTTAGAGAATCTTTACGGCCGTGAGAACAATGCTTGACAGCAAATATAAAAGCATCTACATGATAGATTTCTGATAGCATATTTTTTATTACTCATAAAGATGTTCTTCGTCAAGGAATATTATTGCAGATAACATTGAAATCCAGGAGCGGAATTCTGCATTCATTAATGCTTTTGGACTCGAGAAAACCTTCCTATTTCATCAATTATGGATGCAATTGTCGGCGAATGAGTATGGACTGGCAGGTGTCCACGCGAAGCTCGTCTTAGCGGAACCTGAAATTTTCACTAAATTTTGCGTCTAGTTTTTGGACAGCTCATAACTTTCAAAGTGATTCTCAATGATTTTGAATGCATCGAATTGAATAGTATAGAGTTCGAAGCCTCTGATTGCCTGCAAAATCACTTCCAACATCATTCCCTATGAGCGAATGGTCAGCGTAATGTACTTTTCAATGAACGCAGCTTTAATGGCGTCATAATTTTACTTTCGAGACCTCTTCAGAGACCTCGTTTGCTGAATCCACGTCTCCACCTGATTCACCTTGCCTTCTATAAATGGCCCATCAGGCCTGCCTGGTCCACCCATTGTTCCTGGTATGATGAAGTCCTGAATGCAGTTTACCAGTGAAAAGGAGGCCTGAGGGCGGAGGCTGGAGGTGGAGTCACTATGAAAAGGAGGCGTCACTGAGCCTATATTATGTCATAGCGCCCCTGCCTTACAATTTTTTGAAGCGAAACTGGTACAAGGTTGTTAGTCCCCCCCCCCGACGCCATATTTTCCTCTTCTAAACCTGACTGCGGACCGTGCCTTCAATTTGGACAGCGTTGTGGGCTTTTAACGCGCTAGGCAAAAGATATAGGGACCTAGATATAGGTCCCAACGAATACAGTGGGGTGTGGCCTATGAGAGGACACGGTGTCCACGTCGAAGATGGGCCGCAAGGAATATTCTCTGGCTTCAGACCACAGGTGTTGCTTAACGGTCCGTCAGGTCATAGTGGTAGGTGAAACCACTGTGACGAGCCTGATGCCGTTTGAAATATGTTTTTGCAATTTTCTTTCTGGTGACAGCAGTAAGCATTTACGCTCACTGTGGATTACGAGTGATTTGATGAGAAGGTTTTCTAGGTACACCAGAGGAGGAGGCTGCAGGCATTCATCATACTAGGAACATGGGTGGACCAGGCAGGGCCTAATTGACGACATGAGAGCAATATTCAATAGTCAATCATTTATTCAAGCATTAGAAATCATCCCATTTGTTCTGACTACATTAACGCTCCATTTCATTGTGCCTGCTTGGCTGCTAGGATGCTTTTAATGTTCAGTTGAAAAGGAGTTTGCACCGTTTCAGCATTTAACAGGTTTTCTACTGCTTACATTAACGCAGGGCTCTATGGCTCTATCACTTAACTATGTCAGCTGCCACGAGGTTTTTTAGGGGCTGGGCTCTCTCACGAAGAGGCTAAAGAGCTTCGTGATCATATGCATTAATACCGGACATGACTATGACCTGCATAAAAACGCCGTTAGACTCTGGTTCCGTTTCTGCAGAGATGAGATGCAGCCGGAAAATATGCGGTGGAACTACATTTTTGCTGCGTTGTCAAAACGACCACTTTTGAAAAAGTTGACGAAAAAAAAATTTTTTTTTTCAAGCTAGTGTTTGTTGTTGGCATGCGAATTGGTATTGGTAATTACCACATTTTTTGTATGGGGGCATCGAAAACTTCGGTAAGACAGGATTTTGTGAGATTCATGGGTGGAACTGTGATTATCCTTCGCAGTGTATTTACAGGCCAGCCCAATATCACTTTCCGCACCGCATCAGAAAGTACCGTATGCATGAGCTTCATAAAAGAGAGTAGCTCCATATTGTATCTATGGTTAAAACCTTAATGGTATTCGGATTCAATGCTTTGTCGTGTTCTGTTTGTACCTTCCACTGTGTGGAAAATGCGTCTTTTGTATTCTGCCTCTATCAAAATACCTTTCTAATTGATGGGAATACGCCTTCACTCCTCCATATATAAACGCTCCGAAACACATACTGGGGCTGTTCTCCCTTCAAATTATCCACTCGGATCGCCCGGCTAGCGCCGAGCTCTCCTCCTTTTCTTTAGCTCTGACCTGGCTTAGCCAGACGCACCTCATAGTCGAAATGGAATTAGTTCATGCACTTGCTGCTCATATTGTATTGATCAAATAATAGTGGAAAGAGGAACTCAACGGATTCTGCACTCCTGTTCGCGCTCATATTCACAGGAGAAGTGGTATGGGGTGTAAGGCACATATTCTGCATAGACCTGCATATAGGTAGAAAGCGCAGTTCGCCAATCCCTATGAATCGCTCAGCAGATGAACAAATTCCGTTTCCACCACTCGCATCGGAACGCCTGCCAATGAGCGATTTCCTTTTCCATTACCATGCAATCCACTCAGTGAGGTCGTACAAACAATTGCACACGCAAATGTTTCGGCTACTTTAGTATTCTTTCAAACACAAACAAGTTATCACAAGAATGCTGAGTTATGGGCAAAAGTCGGACCACGGACGGGATTCGAACCCGCATCTTCTGCTTACCGGGCAGTTGCGTTTCCTATTACGCTACCGAGGCCAACTTTTGACCAGCTAGCCGATATCGGCAGTGAACCGCAAGGCTGAAGGCTCTTTCCAAGTTTGTAAACTTGTCAAAAAGCCTTCAGCCTTGCGGTTCACTGCCGATATCGGCTAACCGGCTCATCACGTTGAACGTGTGAGTGCTGTAAGGCTATGGCACAAATAGCCATTGAGCTGAGTGGTCAAAAGTGGCCTCGGTAGCGTAATAGGGAACGCAACTGCCCGGTAAGCAGAAGATGCGGGTTCGAATCCCGTCCGTGGTCCGACTTTTGCCCATAACTCAGCATTCTTGTGATAACTTTCGTATCGCGCACTGCGGCGTTAAACAGCAGTTATCAAACAAACAGCAAGTTTCCCAATGAATAAATAAAGTTTGAAAAGGTTCGGGAAGAGGGGTTGGTCACGAGCTATATATGCGCCCGCGTCGAGCATAGCATTAACACATTGACGCCGCGTGAATTGTCGGCAATACACGCGCATACTCCCGTTTCTCGCGTTTGTGTATTGCCCACAATTCACGTTTGGGTCGGCTTTTTCCTGGGTATGAGTGCGACTTAAATCATTTTCACCAGTATATGTTTCAGCAAGCTTTGCTTATGCTTAGTTCTTGATTGGCGGCGAAAGAATGCTGCTATTGATAGTAATTCATTAATGTTATTGCACAAATACGAGTGCTGTGGCGCGGGTCGGTAGTTGCACTTGCTATGATAGACGTCGGGCATCACTACAATTTTAGTAAGACTTTTAGTGATAAGTAAGTGTTTACAATACATTTGATAGTGTTTAATTGATTATGATAACAATACTTATGTCGTCAAAACTGACGTTTAGATCTTCTACGTTGTCCAGATCCATCTATGCAGCTAAAAGAAGTCATCATTCATAATGAACAATGTAGAAATGAGCGCAAAAGTAACCAGAATGAGCGTGTAAAGGGGCATGCGGCACAAAGACTCCCGTTTCGCGCGTTTGTGTATTGCACGCAATTCACGCGCGCGGAGATGCAGAAACGGGAGTCGCCGTAAAAACGCCGGGGCGTTCAATATTTTAAATGCGCATAGTACGTGTACATGGGGTGGTAAGCCTCTGCCACCTCTATAAAACGAAAACGGCAACGTTCCTTATCATGACCTATCGGTTGTTATCACGTTCTTTCACCTATTGTCGACGTCCTAACCTCTCCCTCCACATCACTTTGAATAAACGCCTAGCTGATTGCTGTCCCGCGTTATGAATATGGTGACCTTTCAATTCTAATTCCCCTTATCTATTATAATACGATTTCATCTGATTTTATATAGTATCTTAATGGCTATAATCGTTTATACATTTTTTTCCTCTCCAAGTTTTTAGAGGGGGTGACTCAAAAAAGCAGCTTAGCTTTTGTTTTGCATGTGCCCTTGGACGGCATAAGATTTGGTCCTTATCAATTATTATCAGCCGATATCATCCTCTACCACCCACCAGTAATACTCCTGCAGTACACCCTATATTATACCTTTTGACTAACTTCCCACTGTTGCTGCAACCTGCGCTATGGATTCGGTGACCTCTCCCTTCTAACGCCTCTTATCGGATCTTATCAACTGATATCACTTCCTGTCACCCACCAATAGTGTTCCCGTCACCCCCTTACATCACTTCTTGGAATCAAGGTCTCACTGCTATAAATTTCGTGACAAACAGACGAACGCCCACACAGAGACATATTCAACCAATTCTATATGGTAGGATGGTTTCCTAGCCCATTCCATGATGAGCTTTCAATTAATCCCGACATATAGACGTAGTATACTGTTATATGAACCTGTAGCTCTCCGAGATTGTTACAGACGTTTATTAGACTAACGTTTCGGCGAAAATCGCCTTCTTCGGAGTCCTGTGAAGTCGGAAAGCACATTATTGAGACACTTCACCCAAAAACCTAACTGCGCAACACCTCAAATGTTATCCGCACCAAGAGCTTGCGTTTTAATTGTATTCCAAAGCGCAATTACACGACTTGGCAAAGTGCCAAGGAGCGCTGCGCGCGACACGCGCCGCGCGGACGGCTGTCAGTATAAACGGGATCGGGAGTCTGCGCCGCAAGTTGCATTTTCAAGCGGAGTATGGAGGAAATTAGCGTATCCCGCGGTCCCGGATTCCCATTCCTGCGTATGTTCGGACAGGGTAGCCGCTACGCTTCGAGGCCTCTTCAGCTGGTTTCTTGAGAGTTCCGAGGACGCGCCTTGCAGTTGAGCGTACAGTGTGTTTCTAAGCGTGTCCTGTTTCAGAAATGATTGGCGCAATGAAAACGTATTTTGTTCTTTCTATGCTGCTCGGATTGCTGTCGATTGGTAAGCGATGTTCTAATTAAAATGGACTCTCAATTATATTGTTGAGCAACGGCTAACTTCTCGTCACAGTTCACGGTTCGAAACTTTCATAAGGGAAATCATGAGGCTCATGGGGATCTCGTCGGAATTTGGTGGGCTGGTGTGTTTACTGCTGCACCGCTGGGACAGTATCCAGCCTTCTAATTAATGAATTGTTGCCTACAAAGCCTACCACTCCTCACTCGTACTGACATGGTCCCTGCAAACGATAAGGCCTTTGATGGGGTCAAGGCTCAGATCACAACCAGATCAGATTTGTGACGGACTAAAGGTGGCATAAGGCATAACTGGTAGAGAGGGGCGGTCTTGTTGCACCGCGAACCGCGCCGCGTCATCTCCCTTAGTTTGCATGGATCATGATTGCATAAAGTGATGAGCTGGTAACGGCGGTGAACGCCGTTGCCAGAAAGCTGAAATGTTAGACATCTTTCTTGACTGTTCAGTGATTGCAGATGTTTTGAACGCTGATGCGAGATTTGTCACGAGGCGCCTAGATTTATTAACAATTCGTTCCCGAGCATCAGCAGACAGTTCGGCAACGCGGAAAGGCATTTTGCTTCCTTGTTCCTTCGCTAGTTCCGTATTTCAAGCCACAATCTGATGAAATCCGTTGATTTTTGGGAAGCTTGGGCAAATTTATCGAGCCACCATGGGAAAATATGTTAACCCTTGTAAGTTCATGAAACAGCTTCCTGGATGGCTCGTCACGTCGATGGAGGGGAATGGGAGCAAAAGTGAAACTGTGCCCCAGCCCGTCGCCGAACTGCGCCGACTATAGGCGATTTGTACGTTTCTCAACTTTCTCGTAGTCCTACTATACTTTGAATTTGGAAGGTTGGCCTAAGAAATGTCGCTCTAAGAGTGCAATTCAGCTTCGCCGATGGATCATGTATGCAAAAAGAAGATCGACAGTGGACATTGCTTAGCTTACATTCCTAGGTGAGGCTGGCATCATGATTTACATAGAGAGATGGAAACAGTGTACATCATTAGTTGGAGATTCCTGTCGACTCCATACGCCCCCTACCTCGAGCTATCGAGCGAGAGGAGAGTATGAGGATATGTCCTATGTCTTCTAACTAGGTGACTGCTCGCACTTTCTTCTAAGATAAGAATGCCACGCGGGATTGACCACTTGAAAAGACAACCACTTGTTTAAGTAAACTTTATCTAATATACTAAAGGTAAATAACTAGTAAATATATACATCAATTGTAAACATTACAAGCGATATGAGAATGAAATAGGAGGCTATGAATAAGGGAATGAATACGCATAGTAAGAGCAATTCGAGAGCGAGGAGGCACAATTGAAGAAGGCTATAAGAGAATTCATCATGTTCATACAGCTACGATAATCAGGTCCATCAAAGGAGAAGCCGTTGAATGTAAAGAGAGTTCGAACTAGAACAACTACGACTTAGGAATAATGATGAGGCCGGAATATTGAGAAGGAGATATTGAGCACCGTGGAGTGGAAGAGTATTCGGAAGACTGTTGAAGACTTGACCAGCCGTCTGACTTCCCAGCTGGGCCATCTGCTGCTTAAATAGTACGCCGTTTTTGCCCGTCGCTCTGCTAACGCCTTCTTACTGGCATTCCTTCAATTGCTCATCGATTCGCTATAAATCAAGTTACAATGACTCATGGAGAAATGAGAAATCACTAAAAGAATAAGCTTAGAGATACAATTCAAACTAATGTAACTTCACTAATCTTGAAGATGACTTCGTCGTCAAAGTATATAGTAAATATGAAGCAGGTAAAACCACGAAAAGGCAGCAACCTCTCCCAGGAGGGAGCTCAGGAGGGAAGTACGCTCCTCTCTCCCAAATACGATCCCCTTGTTAAGGAGTCCCCAACAGCGATGTTTCCTGAATGGAAATTTTGTAGCATTTGGGCTGTGATGCGTTGAACTTCCAGTGCCCATCTGGCCCAATGACCAGATCTCATCATCTCTACATACAGTCTTGTTTGCTACGGACGAAGGGGCGTGTCAGGTTGGATGAGTTTGGCGCAGTGCCAAACTGTTCCTCAATACCTATTGGGGCGAGCAAGTGACAAAACTGTATCATATCTTCCTATCACTCATTTTCCACCAACTGTTGCTGCACACCCACTTCAATAATTGGCAGAGAACGGGTTTGACGCCTTGACACACTCATACCGTCTGGCATGCTCCTTCGTCCGCAGCGACCTAGAGTATACTTGCGACGGGATTCCTGCTGATAGTGGATTCACGCTCATAGGTGATCAAGAATTGCTCAGAAGAATCCTAAGGCATAAGAATGGGATTGGAGCCGTGACACTACATACTACTGCTCTTCGTTTGCCTAATGAGTGAACCTGGGAGAAGCGCATAACTGAGCTAGAAAGTTCCATTTTAGATACGGTTTCTCTACTGAAAAAGGTAAATGCGTTAAGTTTGGGTACGGCGGTTGCGAAGGCAACGGAAACAACTTCAGAACTATGGAAGAATGCAGAAAGAAGTGTCATCAAAGGAAGTTCATCATCTATCCAATTTGACCATCTTTTGACAATTTCTGTATCACGTTCAATAAATATCTGAAACGATGTGTAATATCAGTGCGAACTAGGCAAAGGAGAGGATTCACTTCAAGGAACCAAGCTGTGGTCAAAGTAATTTGTTTCAGCAATAATGATGCAAGGCCTAAGTTATCTGAAAGCTCCCTCTTAGGGGTTACTCAATTCGTTCTGGAATAGCACTCTAAAAAACATGCAAACTGCCCTAGATAGAAACCCAGTTCAATCTCGATTGGTACCAATGCCCAATGGACTCCATCTCTAGCACTACGCTCCCATCCGCATGGCTGATTACTTGTTAAAAACTCTACAATCGTACAAGTGACGACTTCCATGCTTTTTCGTAGTGCAGCTTCGTTTTCCACTGAAAGGCGCAATCGTGAGCAGTGTGAAAAAGGAAGCGTCAGTGGACCTATATTGCGCTAAAGCGCCTCTAGCTTATAACTTTGTCGCGAAAACGATACATGGCTGTTCGGCTCAAACCACACTACCCTTTCGACGATACATTTTCATATGACACCTGAGCGCGGACCGAGCCTTTAATTTTCAACATCCCACTGGTGCTTGTGAGCGTGGTAATCGCAGTGTCGTGCAGACCTACCGGAGCTCTGGTAACTGAGTTGGCAGAGCGCATAGTTGTAAAGGCATTAAGCACATTCAAGCCATTATGTAATGGTCTGGGACAGACTCATTTTTAACAGATTGGAAGGCCTCAGATGGATACAAGCAAGAAAGCTTCAGAATTAATTAGCATTATAGTACAGCTTCGTGACGTGTGAAATAGCGTGTCACTACAATGCCGGGGAAAAGGATCCCGGTAGAACATCATCCTCCCCCTCCTTTGAGGCTCAGAGTGTTTGCTCTGACGGGAAGGATTAGATACGTAACGACTCGCAAGCGCTTGCAGCCGCGTTATGATTCCATGGCAAATTAGCGGTGGAGCAGATCTGTTGGCCGGGTGGAAATCGCGGGTTTTTTTTGTGGAGTGATAGCTTTTTAGGGCCGGTTCTTTCGAGGAGAGGTGGGTGGGTGTTTATGATTCAAACAATAATAACTTCTTCCAGGGAAAAAAAAGGAAAAAAAATGTTGCAAACCTAAAATGTTATTAGAACGCCCAATATTTCCTCTTACAACAAACTCTAGAGTTTTCCTGGAGACCCGCTATTTTGAGGATATTTTAGATGGGTTACCTTCGGTCCGTGCCACTCAAAATCGACTCCTGACTCCTTCTGGCCATTGCAAGGATACCCATTTATGAACTTCAGTGTGCCTCCAAAATACATATTCTGGTTGAAATAAGCAGAAACAGAGCATGGTTATCATCGATCGATTTGGTCCGAGTGTGCGCCATGCATTATGTCTTTACGCAGAGGTGATATTAGAGAGGTGTAACTTTTGACTTCAAGCGATTTCTGTCTATGAAAGCAGGTGTCTGTTCAGGGACTGAAAAGGTCTATATAGAATCTGAGACGTATAGCCGTCTGCGCACTTACGAGCTCATGCTAACTACGGATACTGCTTATCAATTGTTTCAATACATATCTTGAAGCCTTCCCTTGCATCCGGGTCCTCTGCAGCTTTCCGTCCGCTCCATCAAACTTAGCGATTACATCTTTTTTTGTTGTTTGGTGCTTACGACCTTGCGCGTAAGACCCCCCCCCCGCCCCTGCACAGAGACTAACTCCCTCCATGGTGTCGCACAACGATGCTATACCCCGCATGAAGTTGGGAGCTATATACAAAAATTTCATTTGCAAAAAGTTGGGTCACTTGATCCAATTTACTGATTGGATCAAGTGAAAAATATGAATAGGATGATATCACCTTGTATAGAAGTGTTTCTCGACGGACCTGCTAAACTACAGTATGAATCAAGTGCGCGGTGATTAAATTATAAATCATGATATGTACATTTTCTAGAAAAGTTTGTCATATCGAAGGGGTGTTCAGTTCGGAGACATCTGACAAGGAAGTGCGTGCTGGGACTGAAAAAAGCACCACATCTGAGAAAGCTATAACCTCGAAAAGCCCTGCGATTTCCACCTGCCAACAGATCTGCTCCACCGTTAATGCCATGGAATCGTAACGTGGTCGCAAGCGCAAGCAAATCGTTACGTATTTGAAGGAGCTGTCCGCGATGACCTATGAAAATGCAAGAGGTTATGTGGGAAGGTACACTCGAGATCCCTGAGATCGGGTAGGCGTGGCCGCATTTTTCAACTTACCCTCAAGGCGTCTACGCTTCTGATGCGATATTTTCATCTCGACACAATCGTTGTCGTGTCTCTGTCCAATACAGAACAAGATGACAGTTGTCCCAGACTGGAATATTCCACTAGTAACCAGTTCCTTACAGTGTTCGAATGCTCCGCCTACCCGATCTCAGGGATTTCGAGTATAGTGCGATCCGGAGTGGACAACCTTCAGTTCCGCGGCCGAAGGTTGTACAGTTTCAAGGCGCAAAGATGCTTCAGTGGTACATCCCCTTTTCCCAGTGACTCCGCCTCCAGACTCTCCAAAGTCGGCCTTCCAGCCAAAAGTAATGCTCCCGGGCAAGTATCATGGAGTGGATGCATTCAATGTCTCTTGTAGAGTCATAGGGTTCATTACTGGGAATCAGCCGACGGGAATTGTCCCAGCGCGCGGTCTTTTCGGTCTTTTACCTCTACAGTTGTTTGAGGCTAGAGGAGGCCTGATGAATGCGTTTCCCTTTGGCACTTCTCTTCATAGATGGTTCACTCGGCAAATTTTCTTCCACATTTTTGCGAAATCACCTAGGCTTTTTATCGCGGACCGTGCTTTAATCCTTGACGCCAGAGCAAACAACCAGAGGCGGAAGGAGGGGGGGGGAGGGAGAGGGCATAGTGTCCTTTCCCGTGGGATCGTACTGACACCACCATTTCTCACATCACGATGCCGTACCCTGGAGTCGTGTACTGAACGTTGCAGTTTCCCCGTCACCCTTCGCTCCGCTAGGCTGGTGTGGCACCCAGCGCGCTAGAGTTTTCTTATCCACTTGAGTGTATTCAGTGTATTCTAGTCCACGACACTATAGCGGACGAACATTCCAATGTATCAGCTTTTCGGGTTTTGAGTTGATGACTCGAAACTTAACTATACAGTAGCTAAATCGTCTGAGAAGATTTCTCATACCGCCAATGTTTCACCGAAGCTTCGAGAAAAGCGAAGCTAGCACAAGGAATTCCGACTTTTGGTTTCGGTCTATCCTGTCTCTCATTTTTGAATTATGGCCGCCGCTAGCAGGTGCAAGATCACAGGTTTAGAATGCAGGAAGTGCATCGTTTCCATATTACGTGCGCAACTTTACTCTGTTACTCAAGCTCACGGGCGTGCCTTGAAGTTGGTTGATTGAAGAGGAAGCGCAAGTATCAGAGACTGGGGCATTTAACTTTACTCCCTTCACATTTATAATTAGTAGTTCTGCGAGTATTTTCGGAATACTGTATACTTAATACTATCCCGTGTTCATGATCCCTTCATTGTGCTTTCAGAGAGATCCAGCAATCGCCAGCATTCATGTCTGAGGGCCCTTAAAGGCATATGTCACGATAATTTGGTACGTGTTCTGAAATGCTAGTTGGGCGCCATATCGTGGGGAAAATGGCGAAAAAGGATGTGAAACCCAAGAACCTGCGAAGAAAAGCCTTCATTCTTCATGACTTAGAAGGCTATTCTGGACGAGTTTTCCGTAGGCATCGTGCCAACTGGCGGTAATGGGGGGTGAGATAACACACGTCGTGCCACTGGCGGTAATGGAGGGTGAGATAACACACTCCGAAGCTTAAAGGGTCGCAGCTGAAGCATTCAAAGTTACGTCGTTTTGGGTTGCTAAGATTAGCGAACTGGTCGCGTGAAGGATTGTATGAAGACTTTCTATAGGGGGTCGTTTCGATGGGGCAAGTTTCCTCAAAGTAATACTAGTTCCTGTCTAAGTTTCATCGACTGCATCCATGTCAGAGTAGCTAGACGTACTATGACGCCTTATTCGATCCTATTCAGGTATATGGGGTTCTTCAGATCCGAAAATTTTCCATGTCCGAGCAGTAAAAGGCATCCATTGTACGAAAGAGTTAAGCATCGTTCACCTGTATCACCTGTATCACCTGTGCTCCCGTTGATCATCGAGTTCCTCGAGCGGGCGCCAGTAACGTCTCCATTCGTCCCTGCAACGTGCAAGAGTTGCCCAATGAACTCTCTCAGCTCGAGGGACACGATGAACTTCATACCATTCGTTCAGAGCTTTCACGAAGAAGTCTGACCATCGCATAGGCGGTCGTCCAGGCGTTCGCTTGACATCCCGTGGAATCCAGTCGGTGACTGCTCTGGTCCAGCGGTCGTCCTCGAAACGCATGACGTGTCCGGCCCACCTGATCTTCGAAACCTTGGCAAATGCGGCGGCGTCTCTGATCTTCGATCGTTGGCGGAGTGCGGAGCTCCGGATTCCCTCTCTCACTTGCGTGTAGCGGGAAACTCCGAGCATCGCCCTTTCGATGGCGCGTTGAATAACGCCGACCGCATGCTCATCCTGCTTTCGTAGAGTCCAAGTCTCTGAGGCGTACGTCAAGGCAGGAAGGACCGCGGAATCGAAGAGGTGGGCACGGAGCTTGGTGTTCTTCGTCTTCTTCGCTACTCCCTCGATGTTCTTGAAGGCTCCCCAAGCCGCTCGCTTCCTCCTGCTCAGCTCTGGAGCTAGGTCATTCATCATATTGATTTCACGACCTAGGTACACATAGCTAGAGCATTCAGAGATGGTCGTTCCGTTGAGCGTGAATGGGGCATCAGATACCAATCCGTTTCTCATGAACATCGTCTTCGTTAGATTCAGCCGTAGACCGATTCTTCCACACGCGCAGTCGAATTCAGCCAGCATTCGTTCCGCTTGCTCGATGTTTGGTGTTATCAAAACGATGTCGTCAGCAAAGCGGAGATGGTGTAGTTGCCGACCGTCGATCTTCACCCAT